ATAAAAACGGCAACAGCAACCCTATGTGACACGTGTAAGTAGACATCTCACATATAAACACAAATTGTTTGATCCATACAGCTCACATTTTACCAATTGGCCTAGTGTGATTTATTTCTTTATTATTTTAAACTAATTTATTGGAACAGCAAGGGTATCAGATATATCAGGCTAAGATCTCTTTGTACCCACAGGATAAGAAGGTTAAGGAAAGGAGGTTAAGCTGTTTATTTCCTCAATGAAGGCAAATAACAAATGTGGCCTTGTAGTGACAGAGAGAGTAGTTGTTGCCAATTATTATGTACGAATATTGTAAATCACTATTTACATAAGTGCTCAATAGACATCAATTTACTTTTATTGTATGTGTTTGTGTGTTCAGCACACAATTTCTCTTTCATTCACAATTTAAATGTTGAAATTGTCCAAGCTCTATTTAGCTGAGCTGCCTTGAGGCCTTGCAAGTACTCTAATTTGCTTACCTTCTCAATAGGTGTATTTGCACATTGGTCTGGCAGTCTCCTCAATAATTTGCACCCTTTCTCACACAGCCAAATACACCCTACCACAATTGCTTTGACAACTGAACACATTTGCAGTAAAGACCTGCTTTTGTCTAGCATCACCTTAGTAACAAGCACGATGAAGTCAAAATTGGATATTGCAGCAATAATAGACCGGATTGCATACAAATAGATGGAGCAGTAGCATTTGTCAGGGTGACCAAAGACTGGCCAAACAAATGTCCACACCATCACAGGAAGATAAGATACATGGTGTTTGAGCTGAAAATTGTGAGTAAATGTCCTGTCAGTGAGGTGATAAAAGTGTTTGTTGACTTTTGTTTTGCCTGCTCCCCGTTCTCTGTTTTCTTCCAGCCTGGATAAGATTCTAGCTGCCATGACAATTGCTGCAAGAGGAACAATAAAGAGAGGTTTGCTCCAATTGTGGAAGGACTGGAGAACCACGACGCCCAGCAGCTGCAGGTTAGGAATTGCGCACAAAAAGCAGTTAACATCAATGTCTCATATTTATCACTGCCCTTTTATTAGATTCTTTTTTGAAGGAGAAAAGTTACCTTTATGGTTCAGTGGCCAATACAGTAACCATAGTCACTCTGTAGCATTGTTCTGACTGCTGTATTATTCTGTGGTACAGTACACATTTCAGGATGCCTTGTCTTGTCATGCACACTGATTCATACTTAAAAAGACTTAGTAGCAACTTTTAACAAAAGCAGGAGTTTTCCCATGTACAGTGGACAGAAATCTGGCACAGTCCAGTGTGATTCACGCA